TCCGCATCGCTGCTCCGATTATCTTTCACAAGTCACTGAAAGTCCTAAATTTCTCGCGAAACTTGGACCGCCCCATAGTTTGAGTAAAATGACCTACAGCACAAGTAAGTAAAAGCTTGACATAAGCTTAGCAGGGACCGGGTCTCATGTAGATATAGAGTTTTTTGAAAAAGAAAAGTAGTATTGGATAAAAGTTAGTTTGGACGCCGCAAGCATGTTGCCCTTTGAGACGTGGACGTTGTCCAGAAGAAGATGGACGTAATGGTGATTAGCACTCTCTGTCTCTGAGAGTCCAGTTAGTAGTAGCCCGCTTGTTGGGGCGCCATAGATTCGAGGACAATGCTACAATTAAAGAACTGACGCTTCAACGGAGGCTGACACTCGGCGAAGAACACGCGTAATATCTGCAGCTCACGCAGCTTCGAATCAGTCGTCACGCCATACTCGGATGGCATACTACATATTATTACTCGCTACCTACTTCCAGTGGAACTGGACTGGATATTCGAGTATTATGAACCTTGATGTTTAACTTCATCCCATCTGCCATCCCATTCTGCATGCGCAACTGAACTAGTGATAAAATTTGCATTTCCCTAAGCTACCACAATGAAATCGGAAAATATGAAGTGAATGGGGGAAAAGCTGGACAGCTGCTTCACGATGATTGCGATGAATCGAAGGCAAAATATGGATTCTATGAATTTCCATAGACAACGATGATGACAACGGCCATCAGGATCAACACGGGCGGCCGCCAATCCATCTCCTGCGCAACATTCCCTGGCATGAGTCGGAGAAAATGCACACATCAGTGGCGATGATGATGACCCCAAGGGATGTAAAACCCGACCATGATATTGATGTTCAGCAATAGGCTTAAATTTTTTGCCTGGAACCACTCGAAGCTATCAATTTAACATGCATTGTAGGCGAAAGTAATTTTCAGCGCCATAACATCCCTAATGACACCACCACTCTTCTGAAGCCGTCCGTCACCGACAACAACTCGACTCCCGAAGGGACGCTCTGATTCCTGAAGTTTTTTTCTGCAATTTCTCGAAAACTGCGACTTCAATTTGCTTCATGACTACGTATTTATACTACCGTCCGCATTAATTTCAACTTGTTCACGAAATGATCGGGAATGAAGATTTGTTAGTGCAACAGCTTTCAAATGTTCAACTTTACAACCAGTACTACTTACATATCATAGATGGAAGACGACGGCACTAGCACACACAAATAGGGTTCCGGTCCGGCAAACCAGCCTAGAAAACCCGACTCTCCCAATCTTGAAGCTGGATGATTGCTCTCAAAAACGTCTGGAAGGCTTCAAACGCAGGGTTGTAACCTGGCCACCTCGTCCATGACAGTATGTGATGGCTACTTTCTTTGACCCTGCTGAGATTTTGGATAAAAGTCTTGTGCGTGGCGCACTCTAAGCAAAGTTGACCAGTCAGAGCTTATTCGCTACTGTCCCATTATCTTTACCGGCTTCAGGTTTCAGGTTCTATTGGTTGAGGCAGTTGGCTTACTGAAGGATGTATCGGCAGGGAGGAGAATTTTTGAAGGTCCCTTCTTGAAAAAGTGAGATCAGAAGGCCATAAAGCTGTAACTGCAGCCGAACTTAGTTTAAATCAAAATTGTTCAGTTTATGGTTCCCTTATAGCGATTTTTCATTTCAAATTTGTTTCTGTTTCTGTGAGGATTAGTTCCCATCACGTACCCTTCACCACCAGGGCACTATTCTCTTCAACCATTCTTTCAAACGGATCGAAGTCCGTGGAGCTATAGTCGACTAGAAAAGGACTAACTGGTGAAATTATTTCCTTCCTATACGCAAGCTCCATCACGCTCGACAACAGCTTTTTTCAGCCGTTCAAATGGCGGCACGTTCATCATTTTTCACTGGAAATAATCCCCGTTTCACTCATAATGGTGACCTCGTCGATAGACGTGAAGAGTCGTTAGACGTGTTTTGTTGGCTGGGGAAAAAGGCAAAGGCATCCCGCAGAATCTACGATCATACCGATTCTTGTTCCAGTCTGAGAAGGGGCTTCAATAAGGAAACAAGTAAAAATGAAACCAGTAGAACATCATGATCTTTGCCTTCATGTTTATCTGAGCGCTGTTTGGTATGTTTGGGGAAGTTTCTGTTTGTTCGCTGGAACTTCTTCATGTCGTCATTGAGTGACATCTTCGAAGAATCAAGTTACTCTTTAATGTTTACTCCGTAGGAAGTGAATCCATTTCTTCGTCTACTAGCAACTTACTGGGAGCGTTAGAAAAACGTTAACAAACGGAGCAGAGTTGCGAGCTTATAATGCGAACGTGAAACCGCAAAATTTGTACTCGAAGAGTAAAAGCATAATAATCAAGAAATGCTAGTAATTGCTTTTCTGGTATAGTAGGTAAAAAGCAAAGGATCTCTATTAAGAGCTTTGCTCAAGAGGGGATCAGGTTTCGCCCAATCGGCCAAAATAGCTTGCATAAGACAAGTGCAGCAGGAATGGAATTTTTGCAATTTCATTCAATTATAGGGGAACCATTTCCCAGAATACATGTTGAATCCAAGGATACCAGCTCTCGTGAATGTTTTTTCCCGATATTATTTGATATTCCAGGGTTTACGAATAGCTTTGTTACGGGGTATCGGAATGGGTAGCAGCGCCCAATAGGTAAAACTGAATTTTGACGCTACTCTGAAACTGAAAACACGGTCTAGAAACAAACCGATTTTTCAGAAGACATGCGAGATTATTCTATGGGGGCACTAAATGGTGTCGTTCTATGCATGCTTCACGGCTCAGATTCTATAGGTTGTTTCACACCACAGATCCCGCCCACCTTACAGTTCACGCCCCTAACATCACGGCTGTTTCAGACTACAGATCCCGCCCATCTGAACAGTTCACACCCCTGATCATACCGGGTCAGATAGGAGGAGCCTTGTTTGTTTACTATGGCGTCAAATAAAAGTGCTCTGTATCGATAAAGGTGAAACACTTCCTACCACGAAGGATGAAGGCTACGGTACATCAAAGTGCAAGTACTAAAGCAGTTGACAGAAAATCGGTTTTGCTTTGTTTTCTATTACGCTACTTAACTACGGAAGCGACCTGAACCCAAATGGTTACTGACAGATGGAGGGTGTCTGAACAGAAGCAGTGCCTGAGCCGAGTATGCTTTCAGATGCAGTTTTTGATAAATAGTTCGGGGTTTGTTCGGGCAAGGCAGAAAATCGCTTCTCATTCACTTTATCCAAGAGTTTTTATACACTGTTTGTTGCACTTTCCATCCATTTGAGCGTGATCGCAGCTTTAATGAACGGCGAGGGGAACTATTCAGTACGAATGTCAACCAATTTTATCCAGCTTCATTCAGCAACTTTTGTGGGTTTATGTCTGTTGGGACTGCGGAGCCATTTTGGGCTTACGTTGCTTAAGTTACTTACATAATGAACCACGTAGGCCTATATTGATTACTATAATATTTATTGATAGTTGAGTTTGTGATGGCTGCAGGTCCTACAGCATACAAGATTCCAGATGGGATCTGCCACAAACAACCGAAAATCTGGTCCGGAGTGTTCGGAAAGTTATTGTTCCTATAAAGAATTTTTAGCAACTTATTCAGTTGCCCAGTGGCGCTTCCTGTTTCAAAACAAAACGGACTACACCAGTAAACAACGCTCTTACAAAATTTCAGAGTTCCAAGCCTCTAATAGCTCCGAGGAAGGCTACCAAACGAGGAGCTTCAGAACTGATGTTGTACTACAGGTAGTTCTGAGTTCACGCAAAACCATCGTAAGCGCTCTTTGATTCCATTGGGTGAAAGATCAAGGGTCCCGTCACGACTAGCCGAGGTCGACGCGTGCGCCAAGATTCAAAGTGACGAGCAGGTGAGATAGTATGTGTAAACTCATACCCACCTGTACCAGTAGACAGGGGCGAAAGCTACCGATGAAGGTACTATTTCAAATGCTACTCTTGTAAGGTCACAACGAATACATCCCGAACACCAACGACTATCATTGATGTCAATAGTGTTGACAACGAAAAAAAAACTAGTGCATACATCACAGTCACTGTTTTTTTCGTTTTCCATGCAGCATAAAACAAGGTTCATCCTGCTTAGAAGTCTTATCCGTGAAGTTTGACGTCAACCAGGTTGCTGATTCATGAACTTTGTTGCCACCGACATCACAAATCACGAAACCACCTGTACATGAGGACGGTCCATGCGGAAGAGCAGTGATTATGCAAATTTTTACACGAGCACAAAAAAGATTGACACTAACTGTACCAGCAGACCGCTCACATCAGCCTTACCTATGCAGTCGAAAGCGCCCAGGTATGATATTCACTTAAAATTACTGTTAAGTAGGTTCAACAGATCACTTCCGCTTAATTTGCTGAGTAGTTCACAAGAACCGCTCATCGAACATACCGCTAGATAATGAATATTTCTTCATGCCTTTATTTTCTCTATCAGAGATTAAAGTTATAAGAGGAAGGCGTATACTAGTTTTCTAGAATTCAAATATTATTTGACTAATCATTTCCTCCGAAATGGGTCATTTCTATCGATTGTTCCTTTTGGTTTGAAAGTGTCTCTACCTTCATCAACACTTAGCTGTACTTAGAAATATTGAAACTGTTTTCGCCTTTGATTTTTATGTTACCACTCCTTACAATAAGGTATCATAAGGAAATCTTGAAAACATCGCGATCTGGAGCCTTTGTTACCATTTAGTTACTTGATCATTTTTCCTACAATTAGAACACCTAAAGAGCCGAGTAAGAATCCAAGGGTTTTACAACTTTTTCGTATCCATGTAAATAATAGACTAATACTAATACTAATAATAGTAATAATAATAATAATAATAATAATAATAATAATAATAATAATATTAATATTAATAATAATGAGCATTTGATGGTAGAAATAATTTATAATTAAAATGAGAATTCAGCAGTAAATCGGACGGATGCGAAAAGGGTGAAACTACCGACTGGTGCTCCTTGGCTATTGCGAGTGTTATTTCACTTTTCACTGCAATTCAATTCACTATCTATTTCTCCTCTTTATGGCCCTATCTTTTACAAGTAAGTTACTCTTGCCTGTTATTATACATCTGTCAAGTAAGTACAATATTAAGAATAAAAGTTTAATCGAAAGATAAAATAGAGCTTCGTTTTCTGTATTTTTTTACAATGGCTTCACTTACAGAATGTCTTTACCTCCAAGGATAACTCCAACCAGTTCACTTGCTAAGTTATACTGCAGTACCCCTACCAACCAGTATGAGCATCAGGACTAGTAACATAACTTCGACCCAGTCCGAACAGAAATCAACCCGCTAGCATCTTACTTGGGCAACATTATGTGCTCATGGGTCAAATCAAAGCTCCCAGAAGTTTAGATTCTTACTCCAGCTTATTGAGCTACTCACAAGATTGTAAGAAGAACTTAAGTAAGATGAGCGTGGGAGCATGAGGAATAAGCTGTCTCTACAGTAAGTAGACCTGTCGAATGCAAGCGATTTGCGTGACGAATCTCTCTTTAGCTCGATCCCAGTGCGACAGAATCGTTCTTTGGATGGATCACTGCTGTATACAGTCTTGGACAAGCCGTAATGTGTGTTGTATTTGGTTACTGGCAGAATCGTATCAAACAATGCCGTATACCAATCTTAGCAGGGTGCGTTCTTAGATTCGATATTCATACCATCGAGGCATCTCATGTATTTTCTTCAAACATACTGCGTTCATACTAGAAGCTATTGGGCTAGCGCGATTGACGCATATACACAGTCTGTTTGAAATGATATTTTTTGATTGATCCAAGGACTAAAAAAAGCGAATGGGGGTGGTGGGTGGAGCTATCTATTGAGTGGGCAGGGTTTCAACACGTTTCGCGCGTAAGGAGTTCAACGTTGTTCTGCCAACAGTGTCACCCTGTAGCTGGCTTAACAAGAACAGTTCTCTTCCATGTGAACAGTTGCGTACTGGTCGCTGAACACTGATTCCACTCCCTGTCGAATGCTAATTCATGATAAGCAAAGATCACTAACTCTATTTTCAGGCTTGTACTGATGTTTACCGGCAACTTTATTTACCTGTTATGTGAAGTCTCACCGTACTCGCCAAAATGGATTATGTTCGCTTCGCGTAGTGTCACAGGTCTCGGGGCTGGTGAGTTTGAACCAGTTTTGATGCCAATGTGCTCACTATAAAGGTGGATAGAGGGCTTTGACGAGGAGAGAACAAGCACGGAGCAGGAGCGCTCACTCTCATGGATACCATCGTTCACAAATTCCGGCGTGGTAGTTAGTGCTCAGTGGTTGTCAACCATGACGACGGGACCTCGAGAGAAAAAATGTCGGCACCGGTAACCTTTCTCGTCTGGGATAATTGTCTTCATCGTACTGACAGTAAGGCTTAACCACGGACGAGTGCGAGCAGGGGCTCACGCTACCTTATTCTGAACGAAAGAACTCCCGCATAGGGGGTTGAGATATTCGATGAGCAAAGAAACATCAAAAGGTAGCGAAGTCCTGTACGGTTTGCATCACAGCGAGACATCTAACTAAGGCGACCTAGGAAGTCGAGACAACTAGCTAAGAATCGCGGAGCGCTGTGAGCGGATAAGGGCTTCAATTGAGAACCAGCACCTCCTGCATTGTTAAAGTAAACAAATCCCTAGGATTACTGAGAAATTACTTAGTATAGTGGAAGAATGCTGACTAAGGATATGGGGTGTGGATTTCAATGATCCGATTCACTAGAGTTTTCACGATTAGTATCCATACTGCAGGGCGTTTAAATGTTCTAAAACGTACTGATTTCGTACTTACAGGTATGGTCACAGTGCTGCGAACTTATGCCGTGATTGCTAGCACAGAAAGCGATCGATCGCGATCGATTTCGCTCAGTTCTGGTAGCTTTGCCCTCGGCCTGACAATCGGACCAGGTAAGTGGAATGGGAATATGAACCCTAACTTCGAGGAAGGTCCATATAGGAAGAGGGGAAAGCACGCTGATAGCGTCAGGTGTCGCCAACACCAACCAGGTATTCCTGAATCAACCCTCCCAGAAACATAAGCAGCCAAACAAGACTCCCAATCCATCAATAAGCAAATAGATGAATTGTAAACAAGTAAATCTCTTGTTTGGAGGCCAGACACCCAATCACACTACATATGAAGGAAGCCAAAGGTCAAAGGATTTCAATGTGGACCTATTTATTCTTTATTTCACTAAATTTACTAGTAGACTTTGATAAATTTGATTGAAGCGTAAATCCTGATTGTTCAATTTTCAGCTATTCAAATAATATTCTCTCCTGTTGGCTATCCTGGAATCGAACTTATCGGTGGTCTGAGCTTCGATATGTACACAGGTTTTTCTACATTCTATTCTCTTATTTATGCTCATTTATGGCCAGTCTTTTACAGAGAATCTAACTAAACTTACAATTACTTCACTGAGAACCAATTAAAACTGTAACGATCATCACTTTTAGCACCGGCCTTCATGGGACTACTAGTAAACTTGATCTGCTTTATACTTGTTATCTTCCTATTCCGGGAATCAAACGTTGGCTTACAGAAGCAGGCTCCCATGGAGAATGGTAGGGCTTGAGAGTAACGGAGGTTTACACTTTGGGAGAAAACTTCTAGACTACTTTCAGACGAGCACTTACGGTTCTTCGCTCTTCCCAAGTACGATCGTTTGGCGCTTATGATTTGCATTCTGACCCGTTTTGCACAGATGTTTGTCATCACAAATATAGAGACGTGAGTTACAAGTAATGTACTTACTGCAGTAGCTCAAGACAGCCGACGTCCCCATCCGACATCGTTGTTAAGGCTGGGAGCTCCGATTTCAATGACTATCTTCGGATGGAACAAGCAAGAAACGGTCAAATACAACTCCCTAATGCATGGTGGATTTGGATTCATCGGATTCTCAATATACGCCATCAGTGTTTACTACGATATAGGTAAAATGTAAGTAGCAGTTAGTAATGGTCCCTTGGAGTACCACACAAAGGATAGAATTAATATGACGTACTTAATTCTGCTGCTTCAGTTACCATTAAGAGGTTGTAAACGATTTTCAAAAAAAAGTTGAGATAAGATTCGGAGGAAATAAAATTTGATAAAATGAAATAGAAAAGTTAACACATGTGTCACGGGAACAGAAGTGGGTCAGAATTTCCTTAATCAGCTTTTTACAGGATTAACCATCGAATAGGCGCTTGTGTTGGAATGTTGGGACTGGTTGCCTTCCATCTACTTACGTTCCCTTGGTGGGGATTACCCGGTTCCGTTCAGTACCAGCAGGAATGTAAGTATTTTTTGCTTACTAACAAAATTGAAGTCACCTAGAGGTACCATTCGTACTCTATTCTCACTACGAAGAAAAAATCTAGTAGGCGGTTCTCGCTTTTTTATCATGGCCAGGTTGCGATTTGAAAGGGCGAGGCGACTTTTTCGCGCATGGCGAGCGACGCGATGCGCGATGAAAACCAAAAACGGTCCGCACCCCGTGACTAATTCTTCTGAACAAGCATGAAATTTAAATAACAACATATCATAAACCTAGGTCGAAGTAACTATTCTACACATTGCCCTTTAGTGTTTTTTATGAGTCATGGGCATGCTCTGATTGGTTGCCGTGTCCAACCTACCAATAAAAGGGCTATCGAACGCGATAGGATCTAATTGAGTTACTTATTCTATGTTTCACGTTTCACATTAGTGAACTTACTAGTTCATCAAGCACTGGTTTCGAGCACTTTGGATTGTTCCACTTCTTTAAGGAAGCACAAAACAAGTTGTTATCGTCATTTTCGGCAAATTCAAGCTCTGCTGAATGGTGCTCGAACAATTTAAGACAAAAAAGCAATTGTATGAAAGCACACAAGTGTAGAAGTGTTTATAGTGCATTCCCAGCGCATCCGCTCAAGATAATGGACATTAAAGACAGAGGGGCCGTAAAGAAATACAGGGAATTGAGACGCAGATAGGAACCTGATAGTATGGATAAGTCAAAGGGCCTTGAAAAAATAAAAAGCATCTAAACCAATTTTTTTCACCATTTCTTTGAAATACTGTATTTTCAGTCATAACAATAAACGGCTCCATGGTACCCAATCCGGACCCAGTTGGATGTAGGCCGTCATTCGAATGGTACGCATACATAGGAGTTATGACTTTTATTTCTT